GATGCAGCAATATGCGAAAAGGCAGAGGTGCTGTGAGCATCCAAATCTTTAAAAAACAAGAGCAAATAAAGAGCTGAGGGATGCATCCAGGTCTGATGCCTCTGTCTGTCTCCACACCTATATGATTAACATTGTAATAAAAGATGCTAGTGAGCTCAAATGTGGTATTGAAATGATGAACGGCATTATAATTAAGTCAGAGATGTGCCATGATGATATGGTAAGGCTGATTTAAAGTCAATAGCAACTTCTATGGACAGGGTGTGTGGGCAGTCACTCATGAAACAGAACCTGAGATGTTGGGAACAGTAGGGCGAGATTGAGGTCTGGCTGAGCAAGTGGCAAGCTGCCATCTAATTTGTCTTTGCTACCTGGGGGGAAAGAAGCAACTTGCATATAAATTGTGTAATGCATGCAGATAGGACCCTCGTTGCTCATTAACCAACTCTTCAATTCTCTGTTTAAAGCCTTGGGTGAAAAAGCTTATTATTTTTCCTCATGTCTGTGATCTCCCCAAATTTTCATAGTTGAATCCCTCTTGACATGTCCAGGGATTGGGAAGATTCTACCCAGATACTTTGTTCTGCTCAGAAGAGGATTTTTTGCAAGACGGGATTGGCAACAAAGTCTGCTTGAGGGTTTTTTTTTTAAAAATCACAATTCTTGACCTTGCTTACAGTCTTCAATTTATTAGTCATTCATAGCATGCAGCTGCTGCTGGCAAAGCCAGCATTTATTGGATCATCCTTAATTGTGTTTGAGAAGGTGGTAGGTGAGCTGCCTTCCTGAACCATTGTAGTCTGTGTGGTGTGGGCATTTCCACAGTGTTGTTAGGAAAGGAATTCCAAGGTTATGATCCAACACAACAAAGAAGCAGAGATCTAGTTCCAGCTTTAGTGAATGCGGAGTGACTTGGAGGAGAACATGCACATGGTGACGCGAGGAACTCAGCAGGTTGGAAGATCAAATTTGAACATTGCGTAATTTAACTTTTACATGAAAATTTTTTCTTCAAACATATGTAGGGTAAAACAAAATAAAAACTTTTTTGTAAATCTGTCTGGTCTAAATGCAAACATGTCATTTGCTGTTTGTCTTCTGTAATTAGAATATCTTTCAAACTCATTGTTTGCACTTGCAAGGTAACTAAAGTCATGGTCTAAAAATAACAACAGAATTTTAACACTGCTATTGTTTGTAATTACAAACTTTTTTTGGATGCAATTTTAACTATGTATTTCTTGCAGCAATATTGGTTTTAAAATAATAAGAAAAATGTTATCATGATGCGCTGTGTCAGGACCATAATGTTAATCTCAGAATAGTCACATGAAATCACAACCATCTTCGATTAAGTCCAATTTGTAATCAATCGCTTTTTTTCAGTGACCCTTCCTCAGAACTCGGGTCACTTGACCTGAAACATTAACTCGAGCTTCTCTCCACAGTTAATGCCAGACCTACTGAGCTTTTCCAGCAACGTTTGTTTTTGTTGTTGTTTCTGTTTCTGATTTACAGTATCTGCAGTTTTTCAACATTTGGCCATCAAAGTAATATTTTCATGGCTTGAACTAATTTTAGTGGGCAATCATAGCAGTCAAATAATGACTGTGTTAACCAGCAATGAGATGAACTATAATTTGACTGTTCCTTGTTTGGTTACTGGTGAGGAATTTGCAACAAATCTACTTTTCCACAAATTTGGAATACTGTATTGCTGCAACTAGATTTTAATAGTTAATGATATTTAGAGTTGATTTGGAAAGGATATTGTCAGTTTTGAAACATCTTGGATCAGCTATCGTACTGCTAATAAGCTCCACGGCCGATTTATGACTCATCCCTCCAGTTTCAATATAAACTTCCTGGACTCAGAAAGGAAGTTGACTTAATTCTGTGACTAAGATAGAGCTGGAGGAACACAGCAGGCCAAGCAGCATCAGAGGAGCAGGAAAGCTGACGTTTCGGGCCTAGACCCTTCTTCGGAAATGCTGTGACTAACTTGTTGCCCCGTGCTAGTTTCCAATTCATCTAGATTCTCACAGAAGCTTAACAGCTCCACAGGGGCTATTGATCAGCAGATTAGGCCTTCTTGGGTACTATTTTTATTGTGTAGTATTTAAAACATTCGTATCTATTATCTGTTCTGCTCCCCTGTTTAACACAATTAATTTAAACACACACTAACAATTCTGTTAGAACATTGTAGACGGGAAGAAAAACAATAAAAATGGTGCAAACAAAATTACTTTCTGCAGAGTGAATGTCAGTTTTCACAAGTTATGATCAGTCATTAAATCATTCATGAATTGCTTGGATTTTTTTTTTGCTTCCATTCATAAACACAGGTAAGACACAAAAGCATTACCATCAAAACAAAATTAAAAACACACAGTACACGCCTCAGCCCTTCATCCGAACAAAAGCAGGAATTACTGGCACAGCTCCACAGGTATGGCAGCATCTGAAAGGGGGGGTGGGGGAAGAAAAGCAGAGTCACCATTTTGGGTCCAATGACCCTTCAGCAGAGAATGCTGCCAGACCTGTTCAGTTACACCAGCAATTTCTGGTTTTTGTTTCAGATCTCCAACATCCGCAGTTCTTCGTTTTTATTCCGATCCATCATCACCTGTGTGCTACATTAAAGGCAGTTAACAGAAATGAAACGTAAAATTGATGGATAAGGCCATTGACCTTAAGGTTGTGTGACTAGTGACCTGTTAGGAGGGTTTTTAGTATCATGCAGCACGACTTTGAATTTATAAAGAGGAACAAGGGCAAGCAATGGTGATAATATGTATCTAATTGGGGAGGCACAGCGACTCAGTGGTTAGCACTGCTGCCTGATAGCATCAGGGACCCAGGTTTGATTACAGCCTCAGGCGACTGTTTGTGGGGAGTTTGCACGTTCTCCTCACATCCACGTGGGCTTCCTCCAGATGCTCTGTTTTCCTTCCAAAGTCTAAAGATGTGCAGGTTAGGTGGATTGGCCATGCTAAACTGTTCATGGTATCCAGAGATGTGCAGGCTAGGTGGACTGGGCATGGGAAATGCAGGGTTACAGGAATAGGATAGGGTTTGGGGTCTGGCTGGGATGCTCTTCAAGAGGATCAGTGTGGACTCAATGGGTCAAATGACCTGCTTCCACATTGCGTAGGGATTCTATGATTGTAAATGTCTGAAACATTTTTCAGTAGTACTTCAGTCTGGTGTGCAAGTTTCTATTACTTTTTAAAAAGATGGAGAAGGAAGTAGAGAGCTTATCAGCATCAGTATTAGGAGGTGAGTTTCTCTGATTGAAAAGCCTATATCCACGGGAAAAGCAAAAGAAGTGCGGATGCTGTAAATCAGGAACAAAAGCAAAAAGTTGCTGGAACAGTTCAGCAGGTCTGGCAGCACCTGTGGGGAAAAAAATCGCCATTAATGTCTCGTGTCCCTAAAGGATCACCGGAACCGAAACGTTAACTGTGATTTCTCTGCACGGATGCAGCCAGACCTGCTGAGTTTTTCCAGCAACTACTGTTTTTGTTTCTATATCGAGGGGCATTGCATCAGGAGTAAACACTGAAAAGAAAAATTATTTCACGTTCAGTCATGGAGTGGGGTCAAGACCAGAATTGTTAGATTTGTGGATATAAGGAAATCAAGGGATATCAGAATAAGGTAGCAATGTGGAATTGATGTAGATTTGCTATGACCGTATCGAATGGTGGAGCAGATTTGAAGGGTTGGATAGACTACTGTTTCTATTCCTTTTTGTATTCTAAAATTGCTGATCCCGACTTGGATTCTTCTGAAATCTAATTCCACCCTGGATCTTCAGAATGTCAATTCATATCTAACAAAAGTACTGAAGAATCTCAGCATGTCTGGCAGCATCTGTGGACAGACAAACTGAGTTAATGTTTCAAATCTGGCTATTATGACTGTTCTTCAGAACTGAAAGGAGTTGGAAAGATATGCTGTTGACAGAGGAGGAGGAGCAAGTGATGCAGGTACCCAGAACAAAAGCTAGAGTGCTCATGGTAATAAAGGCAAGATGGTGTTCTTTAATAGGAGTAAATGATAGGTGTGAAAATGTATCTGGTCTGCTGAGAGCGAAGCCAACACAACACAACACAAACAAGATACATGGAGTTGGGGGTGACAGTTATAGGGAGTGGAGAGTTCTAAGTGAAATGGAGAAGCGAGATCATGCTCTGAAGTAATTGAATTTAATGTTTCCTAGAAGCTGTAAAGTACCTAAGTGGGAATAGAGGTGCTGTTCCTTCAGCTTGCGTTGAGCTTTGTTGAGGCACTGTAGCAGGCAAAGGAGGGAAATGTTATTATGGGGGCAAAATGGTTTACAGAAATGGCAAGCAAATGGAAGGTCATGTTCATTCTAATAGTCAGAGCAGAGTTATTCTGTAAAGTGGTCCCCAGTCTGTATTTGTCAATATAAAGAAGACTGCATTGTAAGCAATGAATCCAGCAATCTAGATTTGAAGTAAGTAAAAGTAAAATGCTGCTTCACTTGGAAGATTTGTTTGGGGTCTTGAATAGTGAGGAAGAAGGAGGTGAAAAATTAAGTGTTACACCTTCTGTGATTTGCAATGTAATCTCTTAATTTATCAATCTCTAATTGACCTCAGGGTGGTTCAGCAATTGTAGCTCATAAAGACTCATCAAGTTACACGCACACATGCATCTGAGCGTACAATACATTGTGCATTATACGATCTATGTATGATACCTGAACACACAAGTGTATTTCATCTGTTTAAAAAATATAACAAAAGGTTTGCTAATATTTATAACTAACACCTTGGGACAATGGTAGTTTAGTGGCCCTTTACATATATAGTTGATATATTATGTTTTCGATCCAACATCTTTAGATCAACTATATACGTAAAGAATACCCAAATGTAGTCGAAATATTGTAATGCTTCCATTTGTTTTGGCAAAGTGTTTTTTTTTGTGTTTTTCTGCTATAAAGATTTTTCTTTATTCTTCTTCAGATGGGACATATGGATTCTACAGACAGCACAACAATATCTGTGACAATTTGGATTGGTCATACACCGGTAAGCAATTAATTCCATGCAATGACCTATTTTACTAACCACTGCAATTTTAACTAGTCACGAAACACAAGACCACATAACTTGTAGAGTGCCAAAGATTAATGTGTTAATATAGGTTCACTCAAAAATTAAATTTAGCAGCACAACCTGAAATCCTAAAGTCTGGTCTTGTTTCATAACTAAGTACCTGAAGACCACTTAGTCTTTGAGTTGAATACATTTTATCGTCTTAATTATAGAGTTCCATTTTGTAACAGTAATTTTCAGGCATGGTGCAGTTTTTCACAAGCTCGATGTTGATGTCCTACATTCTATATTGTTTCTTTGAACGCTAAAGTGATAAAAGATCACTACGCAAGTATAGAGTGGAACATACGCATCCTACTTGGGAAACCAGTACGACCGATTATTGCTGGTTGAGTTTTCAGCACCACATCCTCTCCATCAAAATGACTAAATACTTGCACGTAATCTGCATCATCACCTATGCTGAACCCTCATTCATGCCTTTGTTTCCTGCTGGTTGGATTATTCCAGTGTTCACCCAACTAGTCCCGCACCTTCCAACCTCCAAAATATGACCACATCTAAAACTCTTCTGTCTGTAGCTGAACTTTCACCGGATCAAACCCATGTTCAGCATACAATTCACAGAATATATGAAAGGGACAGATGTAGAACCATATCACTGATTTCCAAATATTCTTTGCTAAACTCCTTTAATAACCTACATACAGAAGTTTTCAATTCCAACAACTACAAATACCAACAATTACTTGTATTTGTAAGTCACCTGTAATTTTATAAAACATCCTAAAATATGCCATTAGAGTGTTATCAAACAAAATTTGGCAACAAACCACATAGCAGATAATAGGATAGAAGATCAAAAGCTCAGAGGTAGGTTTTAAAGGCAGAAGGAAGTAGAGGGAAAGAAGTTTAGTAAACAAATTAGAGCTTTGAGCTGATACAATGGTGAATACGGAGAGTTTCAAATTAGGGATGCTCAAAATGTCAGAATTAGAGGAATGCAGATATTCAAAAGGGCTATAGTGCTTGAGGAGATCACAGTGATGGTGAATGATGAGACCATGAAAATTTTGAAAACATGGATGAGAATTTTAGAATTGAGGATTAGCTTAATGCAGAGACAGTATAAGTTAGTGAGCACAGGGGTGGCCAGGACCTAGTGTGAGTTTAAAATTATCCACAATACAGTTTCCGATGACATAAAGTTATCGATCATAGAATGTGAGGGGCTAGTCGTGATCTCAAGTCTGGAGGTAAAAATGTGATTGGTGAAGGTTCCAGCAGGAAATGAGTTGAGTTGGTGATCTAATGGAGGTAAATGAAGGCAACTTAACAATAGTGTGGATGTGTGCTCAGAAGGACAACACAAGGTCACGTATGACTCTGATTTGTATTCTTTTGCATCAGACAGCTCCTATGGAGAAGAGTTAATGGTGAGGGAACAGTTAGCCACAAGTCCAAAATGCAAATATTTTAGTCTTTCCAATAGTTAACTGGAGGAAAATTCTGTTCGCCTAATGCAGAATGTCAGACAATGTCACAGCTCTCAGTCTTTATACTGCTGTACAAGTTGGGGCTAGATGTCATCAGTATGTAGATGGAAACTGATGAGTTTCAAATTAGGCTGCGTAAGAGCATCATGTGGATGAGAACTGGAATGAATGATAGACCCCTTTTGGGATTTAGAGGTAGTACTGATGGAACAGGAAGAGAAACTATGATAAATGATTTCTTGACTACAACAGGATAGATAAGAATGGAACCAGGCGAATGAAATCTCTTGTGGTGGGATCATAGTGTCGATGGCATTTGATAAACAAACTCCAAACAAAATTGAAGGTTTCTTGATTTTTGTTCTATTTCTTGGTGTTAATTCCACAATAATGTGATGCACTGCATTTGTGGCAGGCCGGAGCTTAAAGAATGAGATTTTTTTTATTTTTGTTCACTCATGGGCATTGCTGGCTGGTACAGCACTTATTGCCTGTCCCTGGTTACCCTTGAAGATGGTGGTGAGCTGCTGCCTTAAACTGCTATAGGCCACATGCTGTAGATTGACCCATTCTGCCTTTAGAGGGAATTTCAGGATTGTGACCCTGCGACAGTGAAGGATTGTGATATATTTCCAAATTTCAGATTCAGGATGGTGAATGGCTTGGAGGACTGCAGGTGCTGGGGTCCTGTGTATCTGGTACACTTGTCCTTCTAGATGGAAGTGATCATGGGTTTGAAAGGTGCTGTCTAAGGATCCTTGATCAGTTTCTGCAGTGTGTCTCGTAGATGGTACACAATGCTGTTACCGAGTGTCGGTGGTGGAGAGGGTCGATGCTTGTGGATGCAGTACCAATCAAGCAGGCTGCTGCTTGGGTGTTGCTGGAGCTGCACTTATCCAGGCAAGTGGGGATTATTCCATCAAACTCCTGACTTGCACCTTGTAGATGGTGGGCGGGCTTTGGAGAGTCAGGAGGTTAGTTACCCACTGCAGTATTCCTAGCCTCTGACCTGCTCTTGTGGCCATTATATATATTTAAAAGGCAGGTGCCATTCCGTTTCTGGTCAATGGTAACTCGCAGGATGTTGGCGGTGAGCAGTTCTGATAGTAACACCATTGAATGCCAAGGGACGGTTGTTAGATTTGTCTCTTACTGGAGATGGTCATTGCCTGGCATTCTTGTGGCACCAATGTTACTTGCCACTTATTTACCCAATTCTGGCTATTATCCAAATCTTGTTGCATTTGAACATGGACTGCTTCAGCATCTGAGGAGTCATGAATGTGCTGAACATTGCGCAGTCATCAGGGAATATCCCCACTTCTGATGTTATGATAAAGGGAAGGTCATTGTGTAAAGGAGCTGGAAATGGTTGTACTGAGGACATTTCCTTGAGGAATTACTGTAGATGTGTCCTGGAGCTGAAATTACTGAAGTCCAACAACCATGACCATTTTTCCTATGTGTCAGGTATGACTCCAACCACCAGAGTTTTCCCTCCCTGATACCCATTGATTCCAGTTTTTTTTTTTGCTGGGGCTTCTTGATGCCACACTGTGTGTCAAATACAGCCTTTGAAGTCAAGAGCTGTCACTCTCACCTCCGCTCTGGAATTCAGCTGTTTTGTCCATATTTGAACCAAGGCTGTAATGAAATCAGGAGCTGAGTGGCCCTGGCGGAACCCAAACTGGGCATCACTGAGCAGGTTATTGCTGAGCAGGTGCTGCTTGATAGCACTGTTGCTGACACCTTCAATCACTTTACTGATCGACAATGGACTGATGGGACAGTAATTGGCAGCGTTGGATTTTTTTATGTACAGGGCATTGTTCGGGTAATATTCCACATTGTTGGGTAGATACCAGTGTTGTAATTGTACTGGAACAGCTTGGCTAGGGGTGCAGCACGTTCTGGAGCAGAAGTCTTCAGCACTATTTTCGGAATGTTGTCAGGGCCCATTACCATTTCTTGATATCATGTGGAATGAATCAAATTGGCAGAAGACTGGTGTGTGCAATGCAGGGGACCACCAGTGTCCAAAATGGATCATTCACTTGGCACTTCTGACTGATTGCTGCAAATGCTTCAACCTTTATCTTTTGCACTGATGTGTTGGGTTCTTCCATCATTTGAGGATGGAGATATTTGTGTAACCTTCTCCTCCAGTAGTTGTTTAATTGTCCACCACTATTATAGCTGGAAGTGGCAAGGACTGCAGAGCTGAGATCTGATCCATTGGTTGTGGGATCACTTAGCTCTGTTTATCACTTGCTTATGTTGTTTGGCGTGCAAGTAGTTCTGTTTCAAGTTGATACCTCATTTTCAGGTATGCCTGGTGCTGCTCTTGGCATGCCCTCCTGCACTCTCCATTGAACCAGGGTTGATCCCCTGGCTTGATGGTAATGGTTGAGTGGGGGATATGCCGGGCCATGAGGTTACAGATTGTGCTGGAGTACAATTCTGCTGCTGTTGATGGCCCACAGTGCCTCATGGATGCCCAGTCTTGAGTTGCTAGATCTGTGCGAAGTCGGTTTCCATTTAGTACAGTGATAGTGCTACACAACACAATGGAGGGTTATTCTCAATGTGAAGCATGACTTTGTCTCCACAAGGCCTGCGCAATGGTCACTCTTAGCGATACTGTCATGGACAGATGCATCTGCAGCTGGCAGATTAGTAAGGATGAGGTCCAGTATGTTTTTCCCTCTTGTTGGTTCCCTCCCCACCTGCCGCAGACCCAGTCTAGCAGCTATGTCCTTTAGGACCAAACCAGCTCGATCAGTAGTACTGCTGCTGAGCCACTCTTGGTGGCGGACATTGCAATGCCCTACCCAGGGTACATTTTTGTGCCTTTTGCCACATGGTGCTTCTCTAAATGTTGTTTAACATGGAGCAGTACGAATTCTCAGCCAAGGGAGGATGGACCGTAGTAATTAGCAGGAAGTTTACTTGTCCATCTTTTAACCTGAAGATGTGAGACTTCATGGGGTCTGGAGTCAATGTTACATCCCGAGGGGAAACCACCTCCCAACTGTGCCACCACTCCTGCCGCGACGGTCTTGCCAATGCAACAGGACTTATCCAGGAACAGTTTCTGGGACGTAGTCATACTTACAGAATTAGACCTTACAGACAATATCAGGTTGTTGCTTGATTAGACTGAGACCACGCTCCCAATTTTGGCACTAGCTCTCAGATGTAACTAAGGAGGATTTTGCCGTCTCAACAGGGTTGTTTCTACCATTGTCTGTGTGTGCCTAGGTCTATGCCAGGTAGTCTGTCTGGTTTAATTTCTTTGTTCAGTCTTTGTAGCAATTGATGCAATTGCGTGGCTTGCTAGGTCATTTTCAGAGTGCAGGTTAGAGTCAACCACATTGCTGTGGGCCTAGAATCACATGTAGGCCAGACTAGGTGGTGGTAAGTTTCTTTTCCTGAAGGACCATAATAGTGAACTCAATGGTTTTTACTGACAATTGA